AATTATTGCAAATATAGTGGCAAAATAAATTTTTTGAAAAAATTAAAAAAAATTGTTTGATAAAATAAAATATTACCAGAAAAATTGTGGGCAAATTAACATTTTTACTGACAAAATCAAAATATCACCCTCTGAGTGATATTGTCATGTGGTATTTTTACTTCAATTTTACATACAAAATATATTCTCGTACAAATAAATTTTCTAGGCAAATTTTTTCCAAACCCCTACCAAACATGGTCTCCTTTAAATCTCATCCCACTTTGCTAGACAACAAAATAAAATCCCCCTAAACTCTCCAATGAGTTGAACTTTTTTTTTTCAGTACTAATATAACTCTTAAACTATACATTTTTTTAGCGATAATCTTTTATATTCATCTTATGAAAACGTAATTTTTTTTTTAATTCAGGCATATATATTTTCGTAAAGATAAAAGGGCTTATCTTTCCGGGAGATATATAGTAGTTTACTGAAAGTTCAAGATATTAATAATGTAAGATAGTAATATGATGCGATTAATTATATTTAATGACACCAATAATGATAGTTGGATAGAGTTTATTCTCATAAATCTTCTGTAGACTTTAATGACTCATGTGAATCATTCAAAGAAAAAGTGGAAATAAGGTGTTAGTTAATAACTCATAATAGTGTTTAACTAGAACTTATAAGAGATCATGAGATCAAAGATTCACTGTGAGAATATTGATTCGGCGCTTTATTTTTATTTTTATTTTGTAAAAAAGAAATTTCCAATAGCACATCATATGGCGTTGCAATAAACCAAGTTCTATTCGGTGCTAAAAAAATTAAACTTATTATTGATTTGTATCTATAAAAAAAAATTAAATCTATTAGTAGTGAGGGATTTAGTTAATTTATATGAAATTATAGGTTCGAATTTTAGTGCATATTATATATGGGTGTCCCTTTTTTCTTATGTTGCGGGAATTTCTGCAAAATAAAAAATAAAAAATAAAATATGTATTATGTATTATGTAAGAATCTGCACCGTTAATTAAGGAAATTAATCAGTTAATTATGAGTTTAATGATATAATTTCATAATTAACCCTAATAATTATTATGAGGCTCTTATAATTATAGTAATTGAGTAATAATGCTGAAAGTCGCTTTTCTGACAAAAAGTGCAGATACCGATTCTGCTAATCGGTATAAATGCGTACCGAAAAAGTATCCCAGAAAATTATTATAAGTGCATGATAATTACTAGAATAACATGTAGGACTTGTAAAACGAGTTTCAAGTTAAAATAATGAGAACTGGTGCCAAAAACTGGTACTGGCTATGAAAAGCGCCTACCGAAAAGGTACTCCGAAAAATATAAGAAAAATATGATAATTCTTGTAAAATTGAGTAGGTTAAGAATCCTGAGTTTGAGATTAAAATGTTAAGCGTAGCAATTAAATTTAATACTGTGTGTTAATTGGTTAAGTGACTATATAAGCTTAGTGCACATGATCCTAGGTCTTTAATTGCTGCCTCCACATGAGTCTCCCTCTAAATATTGAGCCACTTTGCTGACTTGGTGCTTCCTTGCCTTCTCTTCACCATTTGGAGGCCAAGTTGTCACCTTTTCACTTGCTTCTTCTCCTCTTTCACCTTGTAAACACTTGAGTGAGTGTCTTGTGGGGGTGAGGTTCAGTTTTACTGAGTTAAGGTACTGTTTGGGGAGGATTTTTGGGGCTGAGTTCCTTGTTTGGGGTGATCTATGAGTTTGTGGACCCTAGTTTGAGGAAGTTGAACTTCTGTAATTAACTAATGTAAGTCAGAATCATATGACTAAGGGCTTATGGCTTGTGTGAAGCCTTAAGACGTAAAACGCAATGGAAATGCGTTGTCTTAATATTGTATGCTTGCGGTGCATGTTTATTGATATATTATTGGTCCATATCAGATTGTGATCTGCCGTGTGTTGGACTTGAGCTGTGGACTCTTGGCTTTGGGTATTAGCTTGCAAGGTAAGTTTTCGTGTCTTCGATTTATCCATGTTGTGGTTCCACCATGTCCCATGGGGGTATGGTTATATGCATGCTGTGTTACATGCTTTTGATATTTGAAATGTTGTTGAGCTTTATGTGTAATGGCTTTTAATATTCATGTGTTGCTCCATCTTGACGGTAAGCCTGAGTATGTAGCGTCATACAAGACGGTGATCCGGGGTGGATGCAAGTGGCGTCTTGCACTATGTGTGGGTATTAGACGTATATAAATCATGCATTTCTCTCGCCAGTAGAATAGTATTGACACACATGACATGATTATCTGCTGCATTGCACTATTTTAGAACTGATGATGATAAACTGCTTTTGAACTTATATTGCACATGTAAGTGAGCTTGGGGTGGAAGATCCTTGAGGACCCCTTGCCTTACTTAGATTTCTTGTTTAGAGATCTCACCTCACGTTTGGAGAACGCTTATTTCAGGTTCAGGTAGTATGAGGACTGATGCCTCTGGCGGCAGGAGGCTAGAGCTTGGCTGATTATGATATCTATGTTGTATTGCTGACATGACTGGATTGGATGTTGTTTATGTTTTCTGCTCTTTATGATTTGTGTTGAGACTTTCTATTGGGCTTTGTTGCCTTATTTGGGTGAGCATGGGAGTTATCCATGCCACTATGTTGTTAGTACTTTTAGTCTGAGTTGTATAAACTGCTAGTTGGTCCGACCTACGTGTTGTAGCCCCGTGACTAGAGACATACATTATGTTATTTTAATTAATGAGATAATTCAGTTAGCTGTTTTATTGCAATTGCATACAAGCGATGTTTTATTAATTGATTAATAAGCAAGCTGGTAATGATAATGACTTTATAATTGAAAAGAAAAAGATATTCTGCATTTTTAATTAAGCGCAGCATAATACGATAGTATGATAACATTACCGGATATATACGGGGTGTTACATATTACGGGAAATACATAGCTATATGGGGGTATGTAAAAAATACTTTAATATTATAACTATATATTACCCGTAGTACTATATAATTATTATTTTTTTGTAAGAATTTATAACTACGTACCACCCGTAATATAATATATATATATAGGGGTGTTCATCAACCGATCCAAACCGATTCAAACCGCGAAAATCGAACCGAAAAACTGATAACCGATAACCGAATAAACCGAAAACCGAAAAATTGAAAACCGAAAAAAAAACGCAAATTTTAATTGGATTGGATCAGTTTTCAAATGGGTTAATGAAAACCGATCCAATCCAAACCGATCAAATATATTAATTATCCTCTACCTATTTGTTTTTTCCCCAATCATAGCCCAAAAATTTCTAAAATCAAGACCCATTAACTCATCAACTAAACCCAAGAAAAAACTTAGTCACGTCTCATCAACTATAGTATTGTTTACTGATATTTTTGTATTTCAATTTTTTTTTACAAAGCCAATATGTACGAAAGATGTTATTTGCACAATAGTCATGAAACTAATTTTAAGATATTCAAAAAACCAAAAACCGATCCAATCCAAACCGAAAAAAATTGGATTGGATCGAATCGGATTTGAAAAAAAATCTAAACCAAATGAATGATTACATGATCAAAACGAAAGGGTTGATCGGATGAGTTTTGCTTCCAAAACCGATCCAATTCAGACCGCGAACACCCCTATATATATATATGTTGGAGATTATTTGTAACGTATATTGTTTGAATTCTTTGTAACCGTAGGACTGTTTAGATAGAGTATTTATTTGTTTTAGTCTGTTACGTTGTTACCATTTATTGTATGTTCGCCTATTTGAAGGCTACCAATGAATGAGATAGACACACAGATGAAATATCAAGTTTATATATATATATATATATATATATATATATATATATATATATACCAATGAAGGGTCCTTGGCAGATGCTTGCAACACTGGCAACTACCAATTTGTGAACATAGGTTTCTTGTCCACTTTTGGGAATGACCAAAACCCACAACTAAACCTTGCTGGCCATTGTGATCCAAGCACCAATGGGTGCACAGGATTAAGTAGTGACATAAAGGGTTGCCAAGGCAAAGGCATCAAAGTGCTCCTCTCACTTGGAGGTGGTGCTGGAAGTTACTCTCTTAACTCAGCTGATGAAGCCTCACAACTTGCAAACTACCTCTGGAATAACATCCTTGGAGGACAATCAAATTCACGCCCATTGGGTGATGCTCCTCTCATTTTTATTCGATGGTCTTGGCTTCTCTGGATCGTCTTTTGCTACAGTCTCACTCTCTATCTTTGTTCACTCAACCTTTCTTTCTCTCAAGGGAATTTCTGAACCGGGATCTCGTTAAGTTAAGAGAACGCCTTCTTTTTTTTCCAGTTTAAATAGCTAGTAATTCTCCCTCGCTTTCTCTATTTTCCCAAACTTTCATTGCAGTGCAATACGGCAATTATACTAGAAATATTTTATTATTTAGAATGTTTGAATTTTAGAAACAAATTTATTTTCTTCAGGATTCATAATTATTTCTTCATATAATATTGTACCTTAATAAAATACTATCAATATGAGAGAGGCATAGTGCTTTTCTTAATCTGCTCAATTATTACTATTTTAATTTTTAATTTTTCATACAGATAATCATCGCTCCCAAATCTTTAATTGTGAACGTCATGATACAAGAAAACACACTTATAATTTCCATCCCTCTTTATTAAATTTTTGGCCCCGGCATTGATAAAAAAGAGTTAATTATATATAAAACCTTAAATATATCATGGCATTCTATCTACTAAACTAAGTAACCCTTATATATGTAGAGAGAAAGAGAACAATTTATTCAAAGCGAAATCCAGTACATGAGATCAAACATGCTTTGATTGGTTACATATATACATATATATAACACCTAGGAAACAAAGCTTGACTGGATATATACCACAAGGTAATTAACCAGTCGTTTATTCCATACATACACATAGGCTGCAAAGCATATAGTCTGCACGCCCACGCCCAAGCCCATATTCTAATATGGTTTTGGTAGGAAACGGGGCAGAGCTGCAGACACACACTCATATATTCCTTTCGAAACTCCTGTCACAAATTGCAACACATCTTTTGGAACATACGGCTTTATTATATCGCTGTAATGAGATTGAACATCAGCAGATCTGTTCCAAAGCATAATTCCTCCATAGTTGGAAGCCTTCTTTATGTAGGGGAGTACATAAGGAATCAACACTTCTTGTGGTGGTATATAGCCCCCATTTGGAGCTGCATCAGGCGCCGCTGGTAGTCCCATGAATACCGAATTATTGGGTAGAACTAACGAGGTCCAATCGTCCCATGACTCAAAAAGGAATGCAGGATTGCTGTCAGAATATTGACAAGGAAAACTATTGTAGAACTGAACAAATATATAATCAAAAAGGCCAGTTTTGATAGCTGTGTCAAGGTAGTGATCTGGTATAGGACATTTTGGGGCTGCAGACAAGTAAAAATGTTTTTTCTGTCTGATAGTATCAAGTTCCCTTGCAAGGTTATCCCAATACAGATTTGAACCAGCTTCAATGTGAAAATCAATGCCGTCCAAGGTTACAGGTCCTAGTGGACCATCACGCCCAATATAATCACTGAGGAATTTATTATAGAGGTACTCGGCAACTTCTTTTGCGTCCTCGGGTGAGCAAAGAGAGTAGTTTTCACTTGCACCTCCGATTGAAAGGAACACTTTGATACCTTTTTCCTGGCAGTGATCTATTTCGTGTTTTAGTTTGGTACAAGGACTCCAGTGACCACAATGGCCATCGAAGTTCCACGCTGGGGTTCTGCCACAACCGAAGGTAGTAAAGAAAGCGAGGATCACAATCCCGTAGTTTCCAGTGTCACATGTGGCAGTCAAGTTGCCATCGCCATAGTTTTGGCCCCAATAGATGGCAATTTCACCGGTGGATGCCTGTGAAGACATGATGAAGGAGAATGTGAAGAGGGACAAGAGAATAAGGATCAATGCTTGCCTTTCGGAAGCCATGTTTGTGAGGTATGTTGGGTTTTTCTTTGTCTTGATGACAGTAAGGGCAAGAGAAGCAACCTATTTATAATGGGAGCAAGCATTTTTGCACATCTGATTAATTACTTGTACTTATCCTTCATTTTTGCAACCAATAAATAAAATGGTTTTATAATTTTCATGTTGAATGAGAATTGAAATATTATGTTGTAGAGACAAAAAACATGTGGGACCCATATGTTAAAAAAAATTACATGTAGGACCCATGTCAGCACGAAAATCGAAGGGTGTGTAAAAAAATTTAAATTCTCATGTTGAATGAGAATTATAAAACCCTAAATAAAAAGTTCGTGTAATTTTAAAAAACACAAATTTAGGTCCTTTAAAGATAAAGATAGACACAAAAAGGTACTGTCGTACTAAAAAAATAAAGAGTTGAGTCCCACCTTTTTGTATCTACCTCTCTTTTAAAAAGATCTAAATTTACATCCTTTAAAAAATCACACACTTTTTCTTTATTTGAAAAATAAAAGTTGGAGAGGATATGTATTGGTATGTATATATTTTTTATTATTACTTAAAATATTCAAACGCTAATATATTTATTTTATTTTATTTTATTTTATACTATACTTTCTCGTTCAAAAATATTCATATATGTCATTATAGAAAAGTTAACAAAATTTATAAATTCTTAAATAATTTTAATTTAAGTATAGAAGTTGTGTTTATGAAGAAATGGTTTTCATTATAAATTTTAACAAATTACTTTGAGATAGAATTTATATTCATAAAAAGTTAAAAAAAAAAACTTTAACCACTAAAATATTCGAGTTATCGCATGCTTGGTTTAATTGATTTAATTTTTAGACAAATTTTTTTAATTTTCCTAATAAGACATTAATTACCAAAAAATTTAACCTACCAAAAAAAAAAAATTTAAAATTTTCTTAATAAAGTGTTAATTATAAATTGTTTTAAATATAAAATGGGTTAATTCAAGAATGTATTAACTATTATGTAATCAAAAGTGAGGGTGATGTTTTAAAAAAATTCTAAATCTTTTTAGGCTGCGCATGACAATCATTTTAATTCATGGCACTGTTTCTGAAAAAAATGATTCTTTTCTATTTTTGTGCCTTGTAAGAGTTATGAGAATCAGAATTTACGTTTGTTAACTTATTTTATTGTTATTCCAAGAATCAGAATTACGTTTGTTAACACAATTTTTTTTTGGGAGATAATGGCTTCGCTTTTTTTTTTTTAAAGCTCTCTCGGGAAGTTGCCATGAAAAAACATTTTTGACCCCAAAATAGTTAATCCAAACACACACTAATTAAGATTCTCATCTGACTCGGTGAATTTCTTTTTTTTTTTTTTTCAAATATCACTACAATTATATTTAGGAATTAAATTTGTTATTAAAAATCTCAGGACAGAAATGCTTATTTTTGTTTGGCTTTGACAAGAAAACCTTGTTTTGAGAAGAGCAGAAAGATGAAAGAAAAGAAAAGGCTTGGCATTTTGGCTGAGAGTGCATATTGACAAATAAGATAAACTTGATGCAGAAAACAGGAGAACATCTATGCAATAAAGCTCTCCCACTCCTGTTTTTTCTTGTAAAAGACGCTTTTGCTTTTACAAGATTGCCCAAGTTACCAAGTTCCTTAACCAGAACTTGAGTTGAAACCATTTGATAGAAGTCGATTTTATGTCTTGGAGTGATTAATGTTTATCTTAAAATTTTGTTTTGATTGGATTCTTTTAATTATTTTTCTTTTCCTTTTACATCTTTCCTTATGCAAAGGGTAGGCCGGTAAAGTCTGGAGCTTTTACCTGCAATTGGGATCGCAAAAGAAAGAGAGAAGAAAGGAGACCAAGAACTTCTGTGGTAAAGGGAGGGGTGGTGGTCCGGTGATATGTGGTTGAAAGGCAGTGACGGTTTGGTGTTGGTCTGTGAGCAGGAAGGAAGTCGTGAAAGTGTGAGAGAAAATTGATTTTCTTTTTGTGCCCAGAAATAAAAAAGCAGAAAATTTTTTATTCTCTTTTTTGTTTCCCAGCAAAAAAAAAGACCGGTTAATCTCGAGAACAAAAAAATAAACCGATTTTATCAAACGCAATTCTCATCCATTTTTATTCCCGGGAACAAAAATTAAAAAAAAAACTCATTTCGGAAAGGTTGTCATGCAAGTGTCCACAACTTTCCTTAAGCTGAAAGCTACGTAGCAATACTAGCTCTAAATGCACCTTGCTAAAAGTTATTTTTAAATTAAAGTTAAAAAACCTTAAAAATAAAATTAAAAACTGTTTAATAATTGTATAAATTTATTCTTAAGGTTTTGAATGGAGGGAGATAAAATAATTTATTATTAGAATAAATGTTTAGAATAAGTATTAATTGGAAAATAAATTTGAAAACTCTAAAAAATAAACATATATCTTAAAAAAAAACTCCTCCTAATAGCTTTTAATTTTTAGCTTTTTATTGTAAAAAACTTTTTTTTTATAAATTTTTTTGAAATATCATATTTGGTTAAATTTCAAATTATAAAGAAAAGAGAAACTAAAAAAGTCATAAAAAGACACTTAGCTCAAGCAATATATGAACAGTCCAACAGATTTCTATATTTTGCTTTCATGAAGCAAAGGATCCGCTGCCACACTTTAGGGGTCCTGGACGAGCTCATTTTTTATGATTCCGAATTTGATGGGTCTTATCCAAAAATGGAAGGAAAAAAAGAATTGAGAACGGATTTAAAAAGAAGATAACGATATCATATAAATGAAAGATAAATTTTCCTTTTCTGAAAAAAGAGCACCTAAAAAAATCATCTACCGGGAGCATATTACAAAAATCCATCCTGGACCTCTCATCGATAATTTATTTTTTTATATACCGTGTTCTAGACACCCTTCAGTATTAGACATGTGGCAAAAAAAATTTTGCTTCTACTGACAACAAATCCTAAAATGTGATATTTTAAAAAATATGTTTAAAATATTTCAATAATTGAGATAGAAAAAACATAACAAATGAATTGTTGTCCTGATAATTTAAAATGCACTCATATTTTTTATAAGGTTAATATATTTGTGAGAGAATTATATTTACAAAATTTTTATTTACAAATTACATTATTTATATTTACAAATTATATTATTTATTTCTGGAAAAAGACTCGGTTAGAAATATATTCCTAAAAGTATATAATATAGTATGAATAAAAAATTTATAAATATAACTTATTTTATATATCTTTATCTAACTTTCTAAAAATTTCTTGCAAACTACTTAAGGATACACTTGCTGATTTAGATTATGTTATAAAAGTAGAGTTAAGTACGTAATTTTTAAAAATTATATACAAATAACAAAACCATGTAAATGTAAAGTTATATATTTATAAGGATGATTTTCTGTAGCCGTAGATTCTTATGACCCAATTTTATAGCTTACATTTCATGGGTCTCGGTCGCAATGCAGTGTATGTGGGTAGAGCGGTAGAGTTGACAAAATCGATTCAGCTCGGCGGACCAACTCGTTTCATTTGCTAAATGGAATGGGTGAATTGAGTTTTTTAACCCATCTCAAAAGCAGAGCAGGACGAGACAGGCTCATTTTTTGACAGGTTGATGGTGGGCCGAGACGAGTCAGTGTAAAATAAGTTCGGGCTGAAGGAACAAATCGCCCAACTTGTCCAACAGGGTGGGGCGGATCGAGTTTTTCAGCCCACTTTCCAAAATGAGATGGGACGGGCTAATTCATTTTTTGACGGGCTGATGACAGGATGAGACGGGACGGCCACCCATTTTGTCACCTCTATATGTGGGCCCATACAGGAAGAGGCATCATCAACACTGCTGCACTCGTGATTAAAAAAATATTTTTTTAATAAATTGATAACAAAAAAAAATAAAATATATTTTTTAATCTATTTCTTTGTACGCATTTCCACACAAATCAATAGCTCGATGCTGTTAGATCTAGTGGATTTATATAAGATATAATTTAGGTAAATTTATTTAAATATTTGCGGTTCTGGATTTAATAAAAAGTGTGTATTATTTTTAATTGCATAGCACCTTCCTTTTAATTTTTTTTTTATATATAAATAAGTCATGTGCAATGATATACTATTATATTTTTATTAAAAATTAATATCCCAAACCACGTAAGCAATTATATCAACTTCTTTTTTCCCCTATCTTTTCTAGAAAGGTGATAGGATTTTTACGCTAAGCACAACAGGTCGAAAGCCACAGGCCCACAGACAGGACCGAGAGCAGTGGCTGAAATTTTAAAAAAATTCTAGCCATGGCACGTTTTTGGTGCGAGAAACTTTCTGGCCACACATTACTACATGTTAAATATTATAACTGATAATCTTAAGGATTATAAACTTTTTTGGTGTTTTTTTTTTTTTTTTTAAGTTTGCATCGATTTTTCTTTATCTTATTAAGGATTCTCTTTAATTCGAAAAAACTTTTGCTGCAATTATTGTAGGTACATCTATATCAAAAGAGAAAAAATTGGGATTTAAAAGAAATTATACAAAAAAATATAAGTTAAAATAAAAAATAATAATTCCTTTTTTTAGTAAAAATTAGTACCGAGTTCGGTATCGTAATATTAAAAATATTTTCCTTTCTTTATGCGAAGAAGGTATACGTAGAAAGTAGACATCATGTCAAGGATTATACTGAGGCCCAGAAAGCCACAACTAGAATTGTTGTTTTAAATTGGATCTGCCACAAGTCGCATTCAATTTCAGATTCCATTTAAAACAACAATTCTATTAAATATTTTTTTTAAATATCTTTATGGTATAATATTTTAATTTTTTGTTAATTTTTTAAAACAATACATCAGTTTTTTTTTAGCAAAATATCTTAATAATAAAAAATATTTCAAAAATGTTTTTTTAATGAAAACGAGCTTTTTATTGAAAAACAGGTTTGTTTACCAAAAGAAAAAGCGGATTTAAATATGAAAGCTCTGTTATAAGGATTATTAAAAATAT